AACAAAAATAGGAGAAAATGCCTTTTTTTTTTTTTTTTTTTTTTTTTTTTTTTTTTTCTCACAAAGAGAGTGGGAAGCTAAATATACAGGACCCAGAGGACAATGCGCAGCACCAAAACTCCTGAGGAGCACTTGCTGCATCAGATGCCTAGTCTTCCAAACCAGCCTCCTGGCATATCCAGTTTTTTGGGAGAAAGTACAGTCATTTCAACAACAGCACCATTCAGAACAACTTCATTTATTCAAAAGCTCTTCTGCGAGGCTCTCTGCTTGATGGCTTCAAGGATCTCTCTGCCGGTGACAGCTCTTCTGTGGTTGTATAAGGACAGCCGGAACGCCTCCAGACTAACCCACTCCAGTTGACAGCCATCCAGGGAGCCCAGCACGTCCAAGACCCAGGAGCGCCCACTGAAGTCGGGATGGGTCTAGAAGAGAAATGGCACAGGGGTAAGACAGCAGTGACGCTTCCATAGTGAACGATTGATTCATGGTCTCATAAACCAACACCCAGTACCTCTGGCTCCTGCGGATATGTGTGCCCAGGTGGGACAGCCCAAACCACTCAGTGGGGGTGAGGGTGTGAACATGGTGAAAGGAACCAGGCTGTTGTACCTAACAGTCTCTTGGAAAGGGCAGGGGTGGGGGTAGCTGGTGAGAAAGATAACCCTTGTTTGGATAATACAGATGGAACTCTGTCTCATTGATGCCTTGATTCTTCCTAATGGCACTGGAATTCATAGCCAATGATTCCTGAAGATGGAACATATCACTGTAGTTCAGAATGTACTTTCACACTTGTATTTTATATATTTCATATTGGGCATTTTACTTTCACACTTCTCAATTTCCAGCCTATTTTCCTTCCTGCTACTTCCCATGCCCACTTGATCTCCAACTGAACTAGAAAATCTGCTCTTCATTGCATGTGACCCTGTGTCTTTGAGCTGTTGGTTGTCTCGGCCTACCACACTGATGTGCCCACTTGTTTTCACATCCTATTCGTCCCCTAAGGTTCCTCCCCAAGTGCACCTCTTGCTTATCTGGGGTCCACACAACTTTACTGAGTCCCTCCTCCCTCGGAGGACCAGGGTTCTCTGTTCTTTCATGGCCCATATCAAGGTCTGCCTTATGTCATCAGTGTCCCTGTCTGAAGTCAGAGACAGTGAATACAGTAAAAAGAACCCACTCAGGGCTGGCAGGTGGTGTGGTGGTTAAAGGTGCTGGATTCCCACATGGCCAACCGCAGCTTGAATCCTAGGCCTGGCAGCTTGCTTTTTTTCACTTTCCCTTTCTCTCTGTCTCCCTCTGGTCAAATTAAAGAAATAATAACAAATGGAATTAAATAAATATATATATATTTTATTTTTTAAATACAACCCATTCTAGAATTATCTGCCCAGTGCTCTAACCCTAGCTCTTCCTGGCTATCACTAAGCAACTCGTATTCTCACACTGACCTCAGTTTATTTCGTGTGTGTGTGTGTGTGTGTGTGTGTGTGTAAGGAAAGGCTTCAAATGAGATTTGAATTTTTTTCCTGATTTTAATAATTTAGAAATATTTCTTCAACAACCCCTCCTACTGCAGGATTGTAAATCTCTTTACTTTTGAATTTATTTTAAAAGGTTTTTATTTATTTCTTCCATGAAAGGAAACAGAGAGGGCACCCAAAACAGGGTTCTCATGCCACAATCCAACTCCCAGCCAACATGGATCATAGACAGGCACGGACATGCACAGGGAGACCTCAGGATTAAAAGAGGACCCTCCCAGATGACTTCAATATTATGGAGCTTTACATTACTGCTTTATCACCAAGGCTGGACCATGAGACCCTTTCTATAGAAACCATGCCATTTTCATGAGCTCCCACAGCAGCCCTGCTATTGAACACACGTAAACATTCAATCCATTTATCCAGCCAATACCTTGTTTTATCCTGCCAATACCTTGTTTTATCCTCACAGTGCCCTGAGCAGCTGATTCCAGGCACAGACCCAAGTCTTCAGAGGTGCAAGGAAACAGACATGACCTGCCAGGCACAGGTGGTTAAAGACAGGCTATGTAAAGACTAATTGTTAGAAGGAAAGGGATGTCTAGGAAATACCCCAAAGACTGTCTAATGCGAGTGCTCCTATGGGATGGTAGGCCTTCCAGCCAAATGCAGACTGTACAGCAATGGCTTCCATTGCGGGGTGACTTTGTCCTCCAGGGAATATACTTGGTGTCACAACTGGGAGGGGAGGGTGCGATTGGCATCTAGTGAGTAGAGGCCAGAGATGCTGCCTAGCATCCTACAGTATGCAAAATCCCCACACGGAGTTATCTTTCCCCAAAATGTCCACGATGCTATGGTTGGGAAGCTCTACTATCATATCAAATACTTTCTCTACTCTCCCACCTTTCCATAATCTCCTTTTCCCCTTGTCTCCCAGGATAAGGAACAGGCTCCAAACGATCCTACTGGCATATGGGCACCTTGGTACAATGGCACATGTGAGCTATCAACCTTACTTCTTGTCATGAAGAAGTAAGATTCAAAATCAAGCCCTAGCACGTCTTTCATGGAATCTCCTTACATCTTTTGACTCTCCCCATATTTTGAAAGAAAGACTTTCCTGATGTTCTTTTTTCTGACTTGTAGGCTGCAGGGTGAGATTAGGTGGGCAGGAAGGGCTAAGAGTGACTACCCACCTAAGGAACCTTCTAAATATCAGCCTTTGAGTGAAAACCTAATATACGCAACTCTTCAAAGTTACAGGACAGAGTAGGTGATGAATACCCCCTCTATGAGAAAAGGAGGGGGTATGTAAGAATCAGTTTACAGACTGTCAACAGACAGAGAGGTATGAAGAGCTCAGGTGTTTGGAGTTACTGCCAACAGAAGGAAAGCCAAGTGGGAGAAGACAGCAGCCATTAGCAGATCCAGGTTACAGAAACTGATTGCACATAACTGTTCAAGAACACCATGTGTGTAGGACTCCCACATTAGAATAAGATGAAGTCAACAATATACCCAGAGCTACTAACGTGATACCTCTCTTGGCCATCCCAAGCTTCCACAAAGACAATTCCAACTTACTTGTTTTAGGATTTTCCCCATGTAACTAAAGTAGACCTCCTTCTTCTTCCTCCTATCCTTTCTCCTCTTCCTCTTCTTCCCAATAGCCAAGTTGGCACAGTCGTTTTTCTTCTTGGTTTTGGTATAAATTTCAGCCTTCTTCCTAGGGAATCTTAGGCCATTTAAGCAAATGAAGTACATGTTGAAGACTCAGCTCTCGCACTGCTAGCTCAGAGTACCAGCCACAGGTTTTATAGGGCGGGCTGGAAGGCACGCTCTGCTCATGAAATCAGTGATTGCACCTGCAGAAGATGAAGGCTCTCAGAATCCTTAAGAGATATTAGGTGTAGAGTCTAAAGCAGGCTTGTGTTGCATTGCTGAAAGGAGCACGAAACAGGAAACTCAACACCGTCATCTTTCTCCTGCTGTATTCCATGTGGAAGGGAGAGAAGCCACTTTGATGCAATGACCATGAGCTTACCAGGCAACACTCAGCTCAGAAATTGTACTTTTAAAAAATGTGTCTAACCCCAGGTATTTTTTATTACAGTGGTTCTTAGCCACTGAGATTTCACTTCAAAAGGACTGGATGCTGCAGCTTTCTAAGGAGTCCCAGGTGAGCCTAATGGCCAGCCAGATTTGGGAGTCATGGATCTATACAACCTTCCCAAAGCAGTTACGTGAGATGTGAGGGGGAGCTTAGGAGGCAGCTATTCACCGCTGCTCTGCTTCTGCCCTGTGTATTCTTATTCACACTGGGAGAGAGCTAGAAAGACAAGCACATACCTGGCTATGCAATAGCAATTAAGAACTCGGGTGACAAAGCATGAATAGGAAAGCCAGGAAATCACTGCACCTTGAAGACTGAGCTCTGAGAAAGTGTAGATAGAGAGGGCATGAACTCTGCAATTAGTTTATCAGCTTAGCTCCAAGGAAGTGACCAGTCTGACTTGCACCAAGAAGTAAGAGGACACCGGAGAACGAGGGTGTCAAAAGAAGAGAAGAGCCACACCAGAACAGCCGCTCTTTCCCCGCACCACTGATAATGGGTGGCATCAAAGCCTGGGTGGAGGGCACCGGTGGATGGTAGCACTGTCAGCTTAGAGCCCTCACCGTGCCCCAGGCTCCTATCTAAATTCCTGACATACTTTATCTCAGGATCAGAGCAGCCATAGGAGATGAGATTCAAGGCAGGTACTATCACTTTACAATGGAGAGACGAGCGGTAGAGGGCTTTAGTGTCTTGCCCAGGGTCACGTACAGTGACTATGTGAGCAACAGATCCAGCCCTGGCATCTGTGCTTCAACCCCTGCTCCGCTGCTTCCAAACCTGAACACCGGAGACCTACAATCCTAGTTGTTTCACATGCGTGCTCTTTGTAGTGACTACACGTATTATCTGTATTCACGGGTAGAGAACTTCATATAGAGAACTTATCCATAGTGTAGGTTTGATTCTTCTGAATTATTTCTTTAATATTCTTTGCCAAATCCTGAATTCCGAATCCTGAAAAACACTGACTAGCGTCTGAATTTACAACAAAAACTAAACAGAACACCTCTATGTTCAGGAAAGGAACGAGCATGAAAGGAAAGGGTCGTTCTCTACCGCCTGGTAGGCAAAGCCGTGCCTCCACCCACCACCTCCACTCCTCCTCTCATACCCTGACCCTCCTCTCTCATCACCACCCTACTTTACAATGCCGTAAATGAACAGAGCATCATTATGCGACACAATGAATCAGACGTTTTAACTGCAAAGACACAAACTGAGAAGTACCATCAAGTCTCATGGATGACACTCACCACTTGAGATGAGGAAATGGGAAGGGTCAGGCCAGGAGGGAACTGAACCAGTGCTCTATGTCAGGAGGATGCTGGAGAACATTCCAGAAAGGACAAGCAGAGCAGATGTGATGTTGCAGTGGGGACATAACACAGAGGGCCTGGCTAGTCGGTGTGTACTCATTCAAAACTATTCAGGAAATGTCGATCCCCTGCTAAGTGTAAGGTATGTGGCTATGCGTGGAAATGAAGATGAAATTACCAGTAGGAATCACAAAACTCAGCAGAGGAAAATTACAGGGTGTTCAGAAGACTCACGAGCATTGATTAGAAATACAAGTCTTCTAAAAAGACTATGCAATAAATGATTATCTTCCAGTAATATCCCCATTTTGAAAATAAAAGAAGCAATTATACTAATGGAAATGCTAGCTTATATTTATTGAGTGCTTACTACCTGCCTTGAATTATATTAACTACTTCATAGATGTCCTTTCATTTAATGGTTTGAATATTCAGAGATGGGCTTTTATCATCCTTATTTAAAACGAGGAAGTTTGGCAACCCATTTTCTGGGACCCTTCCCTTCTTGGGAGCTCTCTTTTTCCTCTCCTCTCTTTTAATAAATTTCCCCCTTTGGGACCAGCAGTTAGTGTAATGGCTAAGTTGCTAGACTCCCATGTAGTGGACCGTGGTTCGAGTCCCGGACCCGGTGGCTTAAACTCACACCGGGCACATGTGCGTGCATGCCCAAGATCCTGAGAGAAGAATGGAGAAGGGATTATGGCGTGGCCATCCCCCCGGGGGGTGATTTTTCACTCTCTGTCTCTCCAGTAAGCATACACACCCTATAGCAAAAACCTCTCAAAAAAAAAAAATTCCTCACTTTACCTACTCTGTGTCTGCAACTCTAATTCTTCCTAAGTGTGGGTGGCAGGTGGTGTGGTGTTAAGGCAGCTGGACTCCCATATGGTTGACTGAGGTTCAAGTCCTGGACCTGGCAGCTTGCTTTCTCACTTTCCTTCTCTCTCTGTCTCTCTCTGGTCAACTTCAAAAAAAAAAAATAATAATGACAATGAATACATTTTTTTTTTTTTTCAAAAAAAAAAAAAATAATGACAATGAATACATTTTTTTAAATGAGAAAGCTGGGACCAGCAGGTGACATAATGGTTATGTCATTGGACTCCCATCTAGTCAACCATGGTTTGAGTCCTGGACCTGGCAGCTTAAAACTCATGTTGGGCGCATGTGCGTGTGTGTCCAAAATCCCAAGAGGAGAATGGAGGAGAAGGAATTGCAGCATGGAATTGCAGAAATCCCCCCGGAGGGTGATTTCTCAGTTTTTGTCTCTCTGACTGTCTCTTTCTGGCAAGTGTCCATGCCCTATTGCAAAAATTCCTCTCTCTAAACAAAAAAGAGGAAGCTGAGGGGGCTGAACAGTGTGGCATGAGGGTAAAACATGATGCTCTGTGAGGTTAACCCAGTAGGGAAGATTCTGTGTTTGCATCCTGTGACCTCATACACTGGACATGTGTGTGTTGTGATCTGGGATTAGTTGGAGCTGGTGGTGGATCACTGGGGGTGCAGTGCTTCTGTTTCTCTCTCTCTGTCTGTCTGTCTAGTTCATGAAATAAAAAAAATAAAAAAAAAACCCTTCCAAAAAGAGAAAACTGAAGTTTATACCAATGAATTAAATTTGTTTCCCCCTACATGGATTCCTATCACACTCTCAATTTTTCTGATCCCAATGTCTGGGGTAGTTTGAGATTTAGTAATTGCCTAGTTTGTATCCTAGAAAAAGGCCATAAACCCTTAAAATATAACACAGGTTGTGTATCCCTTATTTGAAATACTTGGGACCAAAACTATTTTTTTTTTCATATTTTGAAATATTTGCATCTATAGAATGCATATTTTGGTGAAGGGACCCAAGTTAAAATGAAAAATGCATTTATGTTTCATAGACATCTTAAATCCATGGCTTGAAAGTAATTTTAAACAATATTTTTGATACTGTAGTGTTTTGGCTGCCACCTGTCACATGCGGTCAGATGTGGACTCTTCTACTTGGGGTGTCATGTTGGTGCTCAGAAAGTTTCAGATTTTGGAACATGTTGGATTTTTGGATTATGGATGTTCTACCTGTAATACATTTATACACATCCATTTACTAGTGAATTAACTTGCTAATTAATTTTCATTTACTCTTCAAGAAATACCTAGGCACAGCTTGAGGGCCTGGACGTAAGGACCAGAAGAGAGCATGATCTCTGTGCTAGGGAGTTTCCTGGACAGCAAACTCCAGCCCAGGATGATAAGCACTCTGTAATCTGAAAAGAGGATGCATTCCATTGAAATGTTTATAGCCAGAAACTATGTTATCACAAGCAGGGATAATTCTGAAGGCAGTTCCAGGCCATGTCTGCCTCCCAGACCTGGGCTGAACAGTGTGGCATGAGGGTAAAACATGACCTGACTATATTTCTGCTGTGGCTTTAAATTTGTGGCTCCTCCACCCACACAGGGGATGAGACATTGGGACAGTTCCTCTCTGGTGACTCACAGGATACTGATGGTGATGGCTTGCTTAAATTCTCCTTCATTTGTCAATGACTAAGTCTGTGGTGGAATCCCTTAACTCAGGGGTCCTTTCCTAGGGTCCACAGAGAGGTTACCTCCGGGGTGGAGACAAGGAGATGGTCCATTTGCCAATTGATTTGTGTATGTGCTTGATAGGTTTGTCTCAGGTGGGATAATCCACACGTTTTCATCAAAGGATGGTGAAATGTAAAGATGGAGACCCAGTGTATTGATACTGTCTCCCGCTACCCTGAGACCCCTGTAGTGGCAGCTCCTTCTTTCTTTTTTCCCCCTCTATCCCCTTCCCCACTTCAGCCTTCATCTCTCAACTTCTCTGTGCTTAGTTTGAGTAGTTAAAAAGAGCTCTGTCGGGGCCAATAGGTGGTGCGGTGGCCAAGGCACTGGACTCCCACATGGCCAACCATGCTAAGCTCCTGTGCATATGTGTCCGAAATCCCAAGAGGAGAATGGAGGAGAAGGGATTGACATGTGGCCATCCCCCCGGGGACTGATTTCTCACTTTTCCTCTCACTGTCTCTGTCTCTCTCAGCAAGTGCATGTGCCCTATGGTAAAAACAAACAAACAAGAAACTCTGTCTGCAGTATCATAGCCATTCCAAAGAACCAAGCCAAAACATCTGTCCCCAACACAACACTATCATAGGTAAATCCATCTGTGTCACAGGAACAGATGGAAAAAAATCCCTAGAAATCCCTAGAATCCAGAGCCAAGTCTCTAGCAATTGGCAGGCTTGTCCTCTGCTGTTAATATAGGGATGAGAAGACGAACTTTGTAAGTCACTTTATAAACATTCAGGGTGGCTTATGGGCCCCTGCCATGAAGCCTGCCTTTCTTCTGTCCTGTG